ACATCAATCCTAGAAATAGAATTATATGAAGGAGAAGAAGAATAAGCTGATCACAGTAATCATTTTTTCTAAAGGACCACATTTTCAATAATAATAAAAATTAGTGATCATTTTCTAAATGCTTTATTATTGCAAAACTTTTTGACTATGATTCGATGTGAGCATTTTTTAATAGGTCAAATATAGTTAATGTCTGCAATGAAAGCACTTGAGAAAGCACACCTTGCACAAGGTGGCATATGACTAAATGTTTAATTTTGTTACTGTTCTTTTCCGTCGAATAATTATTGAATCGAAATGGTAATCAGTTAAAAGTGCACAACGCACATAAACTGGAACGAAAGAAAATACGAGCTTATAAATTTGAATAAGCATACACACACACACATACACACAATCACGTTGCATAACACCCCATTTTAAAACATGAAGCTTACAAAAGATCAACCAAGGAGAAAAACAGTGAATAATCCCCAAACGTCTGTAATAATATTCACACAATGAAAATATACAGAACAAAAGTAATGTCGATGCAGAAGTAAAACGAGGGAGGGAGAGAGACCCATTATGAATGTTTGTTACAGGCAGAGAAAGGTCATGAGATATAAACATAACAGTGAAACGTTCAGAAAAATCTTGTTTTGATTTTCTTAAACATGCTGGGAATAATTTAAATAATTTACAATGAATACAAACAAAACAGTTAGCAAACAACACATTATTGCTTTCTAATTTGACGAAACTGAAGATAGAGAGAGAGAGAGAGAAACAAGCCTAATGAAATGTTGTAATTGACAGTAACAAAGCAAGATGCCTAATATACACAGAAAGAGAATCGCATTCACCGAATGAAACTTCATCGGCGAAAATTGACATTGTCTTGAAATCAATTGAACTGAGCGGCCCACTTACTTCTTCACTGATAGTAGGATGCTTAGAAGACGACTGATAAAAAGCTTGGTATAGGTACAATTTTGGAAGGACATCAAAATTGTACCTATCCCTAAGTCGTCTACGGGAACATGTTTTAAATTTAGACCTATTGCTGTTACGTCTCCTTTTCTAAAAGCTATGGAAAAGTTACTCTTACTTAATCTTCAACCTTCACTTAAAGCCTTTAACGATCCCACACAATTCGCTTATAAACACAGTAGAAGTACTTTAGATGCAGTTGCAGTCTTGTACCGTAACATTGTCTCCAGCTTGGAGAAGGGGGCTAAATTTGTTCGCTGCACCTTCCTAGATTACACATCTGCTTTCGACTCAGTACCTAGGGACATTTTGTTAAACAAGCTTACTGAAACTCAAACTGACTGTTGGGTTGTCAAATAGCTGCATTCGTATTTCACAGGAAGAAAGCAGTATACTGTATGTCAGGGAAAGTCTTCCACTTCTTTGGTTACTGAGGCTGGTGTCCTTCAAGGCGCTGTCCTTTCTCCTTTTCTGTTTTCTTTCTTCTTGCATGATTTGCCTCACTCTGATAAAATGAACTTTGTTAAGTATGCCGATGATCTAATTATTTCAACGTCTGTTAACTCCCAGCTTGACTGTACTAAGATGAACAGCTTTCTATCAGGAATTAGCAAATGGTCTTCGTGTAACGGCCTTAAAATAAATCCTTCCAAATGTCAGACTGTTAATTTCAGTTTCCGATGCAAACGAAAGTTAAATGAAGCCGTTGGTTCCTATGACCCTTGCAAAATTGATAATACTGATATAGAAATCAAGTCTGAAGTCAAGTACCTTGGATTAATTCTTTCTTCTGACCTATCCTGGTCCTCCCATGTCTTAGCGATTTCTAAAAGAATATTTCGTCTGACGTTTTACATTAAGAAGTTGAGGCACTCAGGCATAACCCAACCACTCCTCTTACAGTTTGTCAACTCGCGTATTTTACCTATTCTTCTTTACTGTTCACCCTTATTCTTTCCTGGATTGCTTTAAAAAAGACTATGTCATACTTCGTAGAACTCTGAAGACTGTCAGTAAGACGAGTGGTATCCCATTGGGCCGTATCGTTGATATTGTCACGGATAGGCACTTCATGTCGTGTAACAAATTTGCTAAAGGAATTTTGTCAGACTCTGAGCATCCACTCTACCCGCAGCTCCAACCTTGTGTCTCCTCAGGCAAAACAAGAAGTCTTTTGAGAAGAATTTATGCACGCACGTCTAAGTATAAAAATTCCCCTATACCATATTTGGCACGTACTTTATGTGATGGAAATAGTGTCAGGCATCAACCAACTAACTAACCTTCTTTGCACTACTAAATAAACCATTTCTTCGACCCTTACAGTACCAAACTTTATTGTTATTGCCTTTCTTATATGTATTATCCTCTCAATTTTTTGTTTTTATTTATTATTTTTTTTAATCATGAGCTGACATCAGTTAGAGAACCACTGGAAAACTAGCTGGGAGTACTGGACAGCTGTTTCGTCGTGGTTTGGGACTCCTCAGCAGTACGCACCCACCGGGATTCGAACCCAGGACCTTCTGGTTACAAGGCGAGCTCGTAGACCATTGAGCCACTCGGACCCGATTCAATGGTCCTTATTTATTTTTCATAAGTGTGAACACCGTTTAATCTGTGTTACCACTGTTAATCTTGTATTTCCCCTCACTATACTACTATATCAACAGAACATTAGATTCACTACTCCATAATAACATGCTAAAATTTCCAAACTGAATCGACAGTACTGTATGAAACAAACTCACAGTTATTATTATTATTATTATTATTATTATTAATATTATTATATTTAATGATCTCAATTCGTGCTTAGAATATTTTTGAATTTATATCGTAAACGTGGACAAATTCCTCTGGTTACTTTTGTTTTAATTTTTAATTTTATTTATATTTTAAGTAAATCAGATGTAATATTGTGACAAATGCTGAGAATTCCATTCTGTATTATAAGTACTGTTTTTGGAATAAAGTAAATTATTATTGTTATTATTATAATACCTCTTAAGAGTTTAATTCAAAGTGGAAGAATTTAAAAAGAAGTACCTATGATAAATCAGGATGATAAAATGAAAATAGGTTTCTTCTCAGGAGTATTTATATGAGAAGATGAAAAGCTCGACATATGCTGCTTAGGTTGCCTTAAACGACCACTAATACATACACCATTTCAATTTTCTAAATACTGAACAAGGCATTTAGAAGACAAATTTCGCGAGATGATATCATTTCTAAATGCCTTATTATCAAAGGCATTTTCTAAGATATTGTCAAGAAAACGCAACGTGAAACCTGACATAATAATCGATCCACTACTTTTGCTCTGTTTTAATACTAGAAAACACCACAATGACAGGAAGTGTATGGATGAAGAGAGACAGAGTGGTACAAAAGCAAGAAAATATATCAAACGAAGATTAGTAACGGCTTTGAAAACTATGCGATAAGAAGTAAGTGCAGTTAAGTAAGTAAGATTGAGTTATATGGTCTAGATTCATTGACGAATACATTCTTGACAACTTAAGATATGATCATACAAAAAAGGCACATATTAATGTATTCCAGTCTTAAGTTTAATAAAGATTATCAGTGATATATATAACCCTCAAATATGCATCATACTTCGAATATGCCAAGACCCTTTATCATATGTTTATTTGAATAATCCGTAGTCGTAAACATGAAATTACCGACGTCTACACTCTGACTACCCGACTTATAAGTCAGTTATACCTCATAATCTACATAACGTTATAAAAAAGACTATGGAAGGTAACAAAAGATTGGCATACCATTAATGCATAACTAGTTTTGTGAGCCCCGACCGATAACTGCTACCTTGTCGTGGTGGTCGGGCTTGAATATCGTGATGACCCAACATGCTAAACTGATTGGCACTCTGTCCCTCCAGGTCCTACCATATCAGGAAGGTTGTTTGGATAGCGCTTAAAGTAAAAGCAGTTACCATGGGGTACATGGGATCCAGTATCCAGTCGGATCAAATGGCGTATGAACCCATATGGGTCACCGGAAACCATGGGAATGCAGCTCCTGACGCTGCTCCGCTGCCTCACGGATTAGACTCCAAGTCAAAGGCTCGGGGGGTGGTCCCTTAATAAAACCCTCTGCTTCGGTCTGGGCGCCCGGGCAGTATCTCAGCCCTCACACTGAATTGAATAAAGCAACAAACAATCAATGAAACTTATCGCGTGCTATTACACGTGCTGCAATTTCCTTCTTTCTTCCCTTCCCGATGATAGTTAACGAATACTGTTTGAACTTGTTAAGCATGACTGCTTTCCTTCCAGATGAAGTTGTTTATCCGTTCTCTACTCATATATATATATTTTTTTCTCTTCTTTCTTTTTTTCTTTTGATCTATGTTGTTTTATTATTATTGTGTGGCACATCCTTCTTGGTGCCATATTGTTTTTTTTCTCCTTTATGTTCCCCAGTGGAACATAGGACTTAAAGCTAGGGGCCTGAAGTTTCTGTGGCAGTGGTGTTTATTTTCACAGGGTGGGGTTGCTAGCCCTATGCCCAACCTTTCCTCTTTACCCGAATTATTTCTTGTTTAGCGAGGTAAAGGAGTGAATCGGCCGGGGATCGAACCTCGGACCATGTGCATGGTCGGCGAACATCCTAACCGCTGTGCCACCGACGCACCAGTGCCATATTGTACCAAGTTTTTATGCGTTTAAATAAATAAATAAGTTCTGTGAGCAGTGATAGGATTGATTCCTTTCATTCAAGCATAACTAACTGACTAAATACTATTATTACTACTGCTACAAATACTACAAAGATTTTCCAAAATTTACAAAATTGAGATATAAGTGCATTATACATTGAAGAAAATCAACTTTCGCTTCAATGTAACCAGATGTATCATTTTGTTATATTCTTTAGTTAATAAACTGAAGCACCTCCTTTTCGCTTCCTTATAATGTATGTATAGTTCAAAGTTTAAACAAAGCTATAAACAACAGCAAAAAATTAATGAAAAAAAATTGAGAAAAAATTACCGAAAAACTTTTTCGACGTTAATCCAGGCATAGCAGGAAAATAACTGATATTATTGGAGTGGAAGAAGGCGCATGATTCTGGTGTCGCCGTTTCTGGATTACCACAATATGCTGCATAAATAGGCCCAGTCATATTTTTATGACATTCTATGGTCCCATTTACGCTGATAAAATCACGACTCAGCAAACGTCCACCAAGTGAACAAACACTACAAGAAAAATCATAATATTCGGAAACTTTTAGAATAAAAAACATTTTTTACTAAAACAGTTATATATATATATATATATTTGTAAACGACAGACAAAATGCTCTAAGGTACATCAGTTGACCATAGAGGCACTTTCACTGAATTCGCGTAGTCAGGATTAATTGAAAAACAAACAACTTCCAGATAGGTTCAAGTCCATAGACTTATTCATCTAAAAAGTACTCAGGTCTACAGATATGTAACAATACAAGAAACACAATGAACAGTAACAATGAACTAACACTCAGCTGATATGCTTTGCCAACACTTATCACGAATGAAGAAATACATCAGTGAAACGCACAGTGTCTTGCAGTTTATTTCATTTATTTATTTACCTTAATAAAGTCTACACCTATGAAGATTAACAGGGGCATTCGTAATTTCATCGACAGTTTGGTCAAAAATCGTATTAATTTAAAGCATACCTGCTTTGAAACAGGAAAGAAATGAGTACTTCACAATGTTCTTCATCATGTTCATTTATTTGCTTAGAGTCCACAACTTCAATGTGTGAAAAGAGAAACGATGTGTGAAAGGCAAATTATTCTATTCACAATCTACAGCAGTAATTAGGAGAAAATGATTCGGTGGTAAAATCAATAAACCATGTGTTGACCTGGAATGCCTGAAAGTTTCTCAACCTTTTATAATGCCCAGAAGCTCTTTAACACGAGAAGGAAATCAATCAGCTGCATAGCCAGCAAACAATATATATATATATATATATATATGAACACGTTAACAGCCGGAAATAAATATCATAGAAATGGTTAATTCCATTTGGAAATATTTCAGTCGAGCGGAAAAGACTGAACGCCTACAAATCGCAAACTAATAAATACGTTGTATAAGTAAACCAGCTGTTCTGTTTTACAGTCTGTCTACTTCAGGCCTATAGAAGATGCACATGCTAGAAATATCGATACTTTCAACAAAATATTTAAAAAGCAGTACAATGCGATATTTAGAACAGAAACAATCAAGTATAATATGCTTTTATGATCAGATTGATCAGGATAGACGTCTGAGACAATTATGCTAGTTAATATGTGTGCACAGAACTAAACATATAAAATATCGTTCATAACATAATATGTATATTTAATTACATTTAGTCATTTGTAAAATGTTCGAAAATGAGTCTTCTTACTTCTCGGCATGCATAGATGCATGATAGATCGATAGATAGATGGAGAATGCCCAATGAATCACTTACCGCAACTGACTAACAAAGAAATCTTGAAATGACGGAAAATATTAGCTCACAGATTAATGCTTTATTTTCTATAGCTTTCTGATTGACTAAATAAGTGAATTAAGAACGCCAAACTTCAAACAACAGAATAGTAGATCAAGTTTTCAAACATCAGAATAGCAAACAAAAAAGTAGTAGAGGGGAATGTAATGAAATCTAAGTGGACCTAAGCATACGATAGGGGAGAAAAAAATTAGAATCTGAATGATGATGTAGTGCGAAAACATTCAAAAATTTCACCTTGAAATCAATCGACAACTTAGAACGAACCTACCACTTATTTTTAAAGTAGCATCGACATAAAGCTCGGAGAGATCTAGTGAAACATCAAAATCAGTGGTGCCCACCAAGTCAAATTCTTCACATGAATGACAACTTATGACCACTGAAATTTAACATGAATTGTTAAAATTTGGAAATCACAGACCATTAGATTCACATGTAATGATTGAATGATGACGCTTTAGCCTTCTACATAATGACCCTGACTCCAATCGCTATTAGGATCGTAGGACTTCATCTCAGGAGAGTGTTAGAATGCAAGTAAGCTGCAGTTCATTGCTTCCTAGTTTTTAAATGGTCAGAGGCAAAATTTAGCTTTAAAAATCTGAAACCGATTATTCATATATTGGAACTGTTATAGTGTTCATACATTTGCCATCATATGTTGGGTGAATTTAGATAAACATGCCCCTGTTTGCAACTGAAGACGAAGAGTTCACAGACAGGGTGAGAAGAAAATATAAAGGTCATATAACGATTGGTGAATCGCCATATTATGAAATGATACTTCTAAAAGCGTGCAAATAGGACTTTCCCCAAGTACAGCATGTACTGATATAGTTGCTTGATGACTTTTACCTGTAAAACCTTTGATTAATATTTACTCTTAGAAAACCTTAAATTTAACAAAATCATGCTGAGAAAAAACCAAGCAAAATTACACTTACTATGGGCTACGGGATGAATTAACTGTGAAAACTCCTAAATACACACAGATAATTGAAAGTAACACAGCAGCCAAACTGACAGCAGCAAATCGGCTTACAAAACGAATACCCATAAATACACAGCACATTACAATAAATAACAGGATTGTACCATAAACACGTGTATTATTGAATAGGGCGTCATCTGATGTAATATCACCGAAAATCGATGCTTGTGGACAGATATACTTCTACAAAATAAATATAAAAAAACAAATGATTTAAGTTACCACTGTCAAGTGTTTGCACTTACAGTGCTTGCTGATCGAATTGACAATATCTGCTAGCCTTGATGAACAAAATACCAGAGTGAATGATAATCTGTTCTCTTCATTCAGAAGTGAGTAATACTCATCAAAGTGTCTACTAACATATATAATGCAGTTATTGTGGTGGAAATACAATACAATTTTAAACACTTAAATTTGATAATATTGAAATACAAGAAAACTTAGTAAAAAAAAACAAGTCAATAAATTTAATATATATAAACCATAAAGGACAAAATAACAAGATTTTTACATGTCTGATCTAAACTCATAAGACAGTTTGAATACTCCTCACATAGATTATTGCTTGACGAAAATTTTCGACTTGCGAATATCCTGATATGCTTAAAAGTATACCAGATAAAATAATCATGATAATACTAATGATAATGATAATAAACCTCGGAAAAGCATTGTTAAGAAAAGAGGGAAGAGAAGGAAAAATTACAAAAATAAGACAAATGTATGCTACCAAGGTACACTTAAACTAACTATTGTATAACTGTTGTATACATAGATCCCACTTCCTCCTCAATCTGATTGCGCAAGCTTCGGCGAAACCAAGAGCTTCGTATAGGACTTAAACAGTGAAGTTTAGGAAAAGAAGTCGAACAACAAGATTAGGCCCTGCTATTATCAGCATTGCTAATACATGAAGAGTGCTCATCGACGAATGCACCACATAAAATAATATAAGAAAAGTAATAGAAGTAGGTTAAAGAAAAGCAGAATGATCCAAATGGGATTTCTGCATGACGCCAGTAAAACAGCCTCATTATTTTTGTATTATTTCTTCTAAAGTTATGAAGATGTGCATTACTTACTATAAAATTTGGCTGTAAAATAGAGAATAATGAGATCAAAGACAGATCTATCTATCGAAGATTATCACATACTGACTGTACCTATACACTTATTTTTATAATATTCCTTTACATCCTCAATGAAACATACGGCTTCAAGCTAGAGCTTTGAAGTCCCGGTAGCAGTGGTGTTTATTTTTACGGGATCGAGTTGCTAGTCTCATGATCAACCAACCTTCCCTCTTTAACCGTCTTATAACTGACTTAACAAGGTAAAGGAGTGCGTCAGCGGGAGATCAAACCCCAAAACACATGCGTCGTTCGCGAGTATTCTACCGCTGTGCTACCGACATACAGCTATTTACCTAGCACACTACATTTTGTACTGGGCAAATATGTTTCATGTAATCAAAGAGAAAACGTAGTCAAGAGAGGGATAGTAAACAAAACTTTATGTAGTAAACACTCCACAAAATAATGAAGATCGAGACAGCAAAAAAACAGAAACAATTGATAAGAGGGTAACATATCGCTTTAAACGCATAGTTATTAAAACTGAGAAATACCTACTAGGAATACTTCCACTGCTCCTACCAAATACATGGCAGAAGCGATTGTAGTGCCCAAATAAAAAAGTAGACCGACTGCTCCACCGAATTCAGGTCCAATCGAGCGTGATATCATAAAGTAAGATCCACCAGCGGGTACTTTACCATTCGTTGCTATTGCAGACATGCTTAAAGCAGTGAGCATAGTCTAAACAGAAAATGGAAAACAGTAATACATCCTGATAAAACATGATATTGCAAAAAGATTAAAGCAAAGAACAAACATAGTGTACACTACTCACCAGGAATCAACATATACCACAGAAACGTAGTCACACTAGGCGTCATTTAACCTTGAGGTTGATCAGTAAAAGTTTCAGTTTCTTCTTAAACATAGTAATTAGTGCAATTACATGAAAAAAAATATCAATCAGTCACATGAAGTTGTACAGACGACGATATCTAGTGTAACATAAAAACCTGTTATCCATCATATAAAAATAAAATGTATTTCATCAAACACCAGAGTGGAAATTTCTACTTAAAAAAAAGTGAAAATCTCTGTCTAGCTTGTGATGAAAGCTGTGTGAAAAACGAATAAGTTATTCATTCCCAATTTTCACTGGGATTAGTCCTGTTTATTTTTCAAAAGTCTAAATCCTAATGAAATAAAAACCCGTTAAATTGCATACTCTTTTTTCTTTCTACAACTTCACCACCAATACTATGCAATATCACCAACTGCTGATCATACATCTGAAACTACAAGTTATGTGGTCTGAAAAGTGAATAATTTATTAAGTATAGTGAAACATTTTTTTTTAAAGTCAACTGACAACAGTTACTATTCTCTAGAAGAGCGAGGGCGAGAGAGAGAGAGAAGGAAGTAGGACACAAAAATATATGCCAGAATAAATCGTAAAGAAGAAATAAAGGAAGACTGTGTTTCTGTATGCATGCGTGTACAGCAGATAGATATTGAACTAAGTCTAGATAGAAATAAACGTTATCCTTGATTTTAATGTAAGGAAAAGGATCGATAACACGGTACACAGCCACCAGTTCACTTATTCGTTCTATCCCTATTTAGTGGACACTTTACAAGCAAAGTACTTTTGTAAATAAATATTGAAAGTTTTATGAGAATCGTCGCCTTGTATATATATATATATATATATATATATATATATATATATATATATATATATATATATATATATATACTGCTAGCTACAGCTTTTCAACAGAAATATGTACAAAATTATTATTCCTGTACTACAGTTTTCCGATTGATAATGTTGATAAATTCGTGGAAGAAGAACACAACCCATATGAGCTGCAGATAGAATCAAGTATGATAAGAATGTTTTATATATACTCACCTTATAAAGTTGTTTTTTCATCGTAAAAATAATGTGAAATAAAGGCGATTCGAATTCAGACTATCATATGAGGAATACTATGCTAAACTGCACATAGATTAGTTAGATACAATTTTACAAACACAATCACTGTACTACTGTGATGCATACAAAAAGACAAGAGATTTTTTCGAAATGGAACAGTGAAAGATCAGAAGGATAATGCATAGTAATGCCAGTCGAAAGTTAAATAAAACAGTTTACAAACCTTATTGTTTAAAGATATACAGCATTAGCAGACATAAATGAATGTAACTTGCCTATACAAGCATCAAGTGTTGCTAAGATATAGTCAGATATAGTCTAACATTTTTTTCAAAAACAAACAGTATTAATCTAGTAAGTTGATGACCAGTGTCCTTAAAGGAAAACCTCAAGTGGTAGAAGAATTCTAACAAAATGCTTCCAAGTTCAGCAGTGGGAATGAACGACTGGAAAAACGAAAAATTTCGAGACTAGATATACGTACTTTTAAATATACATATTTACTTGTCTATGCGCATATTTATATGTATATAGTGCTAAAAAAGACTAATATAACCCAAATTAGATTATAAGTAACACGCTACAGATCAAAGCCTAGCTATGCAAAACCTACAGAAATTTATCAGTCAGCTAGACCCTTGTAAGTAGTCCAGGTGTCTTAGGCAAGTCCATAAGTCAATTGGAAATAAGCCAAGTATCTGAAAGATTCACCTGAAACCTGGCTAAATAAATTCAACGAATATTTATATTTTACAACTGTTATATGGATTACAAATACTGTTTTAGCTAGAAGAGTACATTCCGGACAGCCGAATTAAAAATGACATAATTATCAGTGACGGTTCCTTATATTAAAAGTAACACGAACAACCGATATATATATATATATATATACTTGTTTTGCAAAGCAGTATAAGATAACGAGGACTCTGATACATTGTCCATCTTTACAAATTATTTCAAAATGAAAAACAACTATTATCGTTTATTTAAGACACAATTAAAGCTATTAAATATTAATGGGTGATAATCAACTGAAACAAATACCTCCCTCTATCTACCATTCATCTATTCATTATTATTATTGTGGGGGGGGGGTGATTTTTCTGAACAGGTTGAAAATACTTTATTCCATAAAATGAAATAAAAAAAACAAAAGAGGAAACATAAGCAGTTATAAAATATTAGATTTGATAACATCCACTATTACCGATGATTCTGGTGGACTTAACAGTTGACCTCATTCAATCTAATCAATTCCACTACATTCCCCTTGACTTATTTTACAAAAGCTTAGCTTTCAATTTGATTATATGGTAGACATCAAAGCATTATCCTCAGCACTTAATTCTGACAAATAATGAATATAAAACACGAAAGGTCATTATTCAAAAGCTTGAAGATTGTTATAATAAAGTCAACATAGATTTGTAAAAGTGAATGGCTGTCAACAATAAGATACCTAGTTCATGTGCGTCCAGGCAAAAATCTCCAACGCTCACTATAAAATTGATAAATGATCTTAACACCAGTATAACAAAAAATAAATGGACCTATTTCTGATAAATTTAGAGATAGAATTAGTTACAAACAGATAAAATTTAGAAAAACACTAAAAATCAGAAAGACTCATACAATCGTTTCGTGCTAATTAAAAGCCCTTAATTAACATATAGGTGTAAATGGGAGAACCTGAATAATAAAGCAGTATTGATTGGTCACTGCTGTCATGTGTATATTCCTTAGTGGTGCTAATTGAATCCAATCGGTTCATTTGCACTACGAACACCAATCTAAGCAACTCATCATCGTGGTGAACTTTTTGAATTAATGCAAGATACTTAAAAGCAATTTAGCAGAATGTTTTGGGCCTGGATTTCATACCTGCTGACACTTATCTGCAAGGTGTTTCTGAAAGAAACTCAGCGGGAATATCAGTTCCTCCAAAGGCAAAATAACTAACCCACAGCTTTTGGAAATGCTGTGCAATCCTTCATCTATTAGTACAGGTATTAGACTACATGCTTGATTAGTGAACTAAGATCAGGGTTACTGCACTACGGTCCAAGCTATCTTAATGAGAAGGACAAAGATTTATTCACGGACAAAATCTAAGTATATACATAAATGTGTATATATATGTATCCTTTCAACGACTTCATTTTAAAGTTATGCAGACATATTTAAATTAAACAAAGAAATATTCAAAGCCCTTGAAGTTGTTCTTCTACTCTAACTGAATATTTTTAACAGCAGTATAATAGGACAGTCCACACAGTTGTACAGTACACTGGTATTTTAATTAGCGTGCACATATTTCCCCTATACTCTATTATTGGTTTGGTGGAAAGCCCAAGCATAATTCTCTCACTAGTGGCAAAAAATGCATTTGACAATAATAAGTTTTGATGACACAGTCTTGTGAAATAAACTGAATATACATAAATATATATTCATTGAATATACATCCCTCATTTAAAGGTGTCCAAAAATGAAGTGGTATATATACGTATATGTACATATATAGTTGTTGACGCTGCTATCTATCTGACAAATATCTTCTCTTATATATACATAAAAAAATAAACTTCAAGAGATAAACAAAGCCAGAAATGTTCACTTTTTTCTTATAAAATGTCAGTTGATATATATATATATATACCCACCCGAATAGGAATCGCTATCCCAACAATGAAATCAATAAGTGAATTTCCGAATAATGCTAAATGGGATATTTATTGTTCAAATATACAAATTACTTGCTGGCTACATTTACTGATGAGTATGTCCTAATTTCAGTTCAATACATATTTAAAGGCACACTTTAAACAAAAAGTAATTCGTTTAGACCATTTTGACTTTAATTAGCTTGAGATTTCCTTTTAACTCTTACTTAATACTTTAAACAGTAATAATTTGTTAATTAAGAAAAAGAAAGAAAGGAAGAAAGGCGATTTATTTCTCAATTGGTGTCTAATTACACACTGAAATAGGGTAAGTATACAAGGTGAAGGCAGGGGGGGGGAGATGTAAACAATGCTGAGCCAATTATGAAATCATGCAGATATCCAGCAAACACAGATAATTTTTTTTTGGAACTTTGTTACTTCTCATCGCTAAACAGCTTTACGACATTAATTTACAATAGTTAATATCTTTTATTATTATTATTGTTTTTGTAGTAACAGCATTGGTAGACGGGATAGTATCTACTTTTATGCAGTAATTAATGTGTGTTGGCTTTCTTTACTCACTACACACCAATAACAACAAAAGTGACTATTCAAAAGTTTTAAAGTGGTCATATACAAATGACTACTATACACACATGAGAAATAGAAAAAAAAATATGTAGATTAACAGAGTGAGAATGTTTTCGATGCCGGTTATGTAACAAATATTGTTAACAAGTATTATTTTGAAGGTTGTGACAAAGTTCCAAATATACTGATGGGTATTATTATCGTTAGCATTTATAACCGACTGGTCTTAGCTCACTTAACTGATTTTAAACCACTTCTAAATGGTTGGTTACTTGCACGTTACTACGCAATCGTTTTAGAGTAAAATTTTGATTAATTATAATGATTGTTGTGAGCCATTTCTCAGAAAATCTCTTGGGACTTCCTACAAAACGGACTATAAATAGCTAGTTCGTTTTTGTGTCAGTTGCAGTGACTAGATGCATCACATTTTACTTATAGATGTGTCTACAAATTATGATCTTCATGAACAGTTTTGCTCGGTAGACTAAAAAATGTATATTCTTATTTCATTAATTTTCTACATGTGTAGGCTGTCT